TAGATAAGAGTGCCTGCAAATATTTGGTGCATTCAGAAATTGAAATCTATGAGAATCAAATAGAACCCATACAATTGTATATATAAATTTCATAATTTCATTTTTTATAAACATAAATGGTCTGTGACATCAACCATATTCTAAATAAATGTTCCTGGATCAGTTAATTGACACCAAATTATCAAGCTTATGTTAATATAATTGATGTTTAAGATCCAAAAAAATCACAGTGGTCAAAAGAAAGTAGAGTAAGTTACAAAAGCATAAAAAAAGGATGATAAGCTAAAAGCATGTCAAGATTGAAGAGAATAGAAGAAATGAGAAATAAATAACAATTTGCATAGCAATTCAACATGCACATAATTTGTGTAGCAGAACAAAATATTTAAGACAAGTTCTATATATCACCATAAGTCCTTCGTTTGTAAAGAGATTCTCTTGACATATAAATTGTGAAAAAATTTTATATGTACTTTATTTTATTGCATCAATTATTTATTTATTTTATTTGTAATAAAAATAAAAAATTTCTATGCTTAAAAATGTAGATAAAAAGATTCATGGTTTGATCTTGAACAAAATCTATATTGTCTAAATATTTTTTAATTAATTAGTAATAAACTTCCTATAAAATAAAAAAATATACACTTAAATGCTTTTTCCATAAAACTAATTTTTTAGTTAATTAATATTATTTAACAAAATTATTGAGAAAATAAATATACACTTAAATAACTTTTTTACAATAATTATCAGTGAGAATTTCTCACTACTAATAAACTGTAAGAAACATTTAAGATAATAATTTCTCACATGTATAAATTTGAAAGATGTTCTCTTGACGTATTATGTGTGAGAAATACTTGAAAAGAATAACTTGAAAACTTATCTTGTGGATAATGTGTCGAAAGGAAGCTTTTGGGGAATAGCAAGTTCACTTTGAACAAACTACAGGTGTTCTGGGATAAGGTCACCTATTCCGAAATAAGTTATTTGGAAGGAGACAAGTTACTTTAGACTAAAGTTCATTATAACAAACTAACATAACCTATTCCAAACTACCTATTCTTATTCCAGAATAGTAAGTTACATTTCAAACTCAATTTTTTTAAAAATTCCTTAACAGCTAGTTGCTTAATTTAGACTAGAGGGCATTTAATTCAAAATAAACCATCTCTGTGTAAGGCTAAATTCATATCTTTTTCTCTTGCCTATTTCGAAGTAACCCTAAGTCTCTTGGCCTCTTGAAAACTTCTCAAAATCTCTTAGTCCTTCCAAATGCCACTCAAACACTCCATCAACTTAGCCTCTTGATGTAAACCTACCATATAAAACAATCATTTAATCTCTCATTTTGCCTACTCAATCATGTTTGGAACCTTGAAGAGAATGGCTTGCACAAAGAATATTCCTGAACCCTTGGCAGCATGAGGGCTTACACCTCAAGATTTCTTCAAGCCTAAGCATATTACGGTTCAAAAATAATGACAAAGTCGAAGTACTTCAGCTGGTAGTCAACACAATGAAGTATTAAGGAAAGTAAAGCAGTTTGCAAAAGCCTAAAAGAAGGAATCTAGTAAATGTGTTCAAATTCAAGAGACATCATAGATTATTGATGATTCACAAAGCACTCCTAAGGACAGTCTAAGTAAATATCAAATTCCTGTGCCTATTTTTGAGTCTTAAGGTTTTGGGTCCTTTGAAAGAACTCCCGAGAATGTCAATCTTAAGGAGTCTAATGTTAAGAGCAAAAGAAAGAGAAAGAGCAAAGGGAAAAATTGAAGATTTGAGTAGATTGTTCTAAGTACAATTGTGGTAGTCTAAATGATGGTATTGTGCAAGTTCAATTGCCAAAATACAGTTCAAAAATCTAAGATTGAGTTAGTCTATGGATTTTAAGTGTTGAAAGAAAATGAGTTAGATGTGAAGAAATTTGTTGAACCCTATAAAAAGCTTCTTGAGCTCAATTATCCTATATGTGAAGAAGTTATAAGAGCTTTCTATGGCTCTATTTGTCTTTTAATGATGGCAAGATCTTAAAGGTAAAAATATGAGACTATCACTTTGACATCATAAAGGAATACCTCATTGAGTTATTGGAGTTACCTATGGATGGGTCAATGTTGAGATTATTTGACTTCAACTTCACCAAGCCAATAATGCAAAAGAACTTGGTACCTTCTTGGGAGTCAATTAATCCTCCTATAACCAAGCCAGCTACTATGGCTCCAGCTCACAAGATCCTTCATCATCTTATGACTAGAGTAATCTTGGTGAAGTAGACTAAGTTCAATGCCTTAACTCAAGAAGATTTCATCTACCTGATTGTGATGATTACAAGGATGAAGATTAATGTAGCTAATATTATCTTGGAGAAGGTTGCTAGTCTCACTGGATCATAAAAGAGCTAGCAAGTCTTTTCTATTTAGTTCTCACATCTCTAAGATTCTGGGTGATTAGAAAATCAAATATCTATAGGATGGGAAGAAGATTGTTTATGTTGACATCATGAGGCATACGCTAGCAGATAGAGAAGGTTAACGAGAAGCTTCCTCATCTGCTACTCCATCAAATCCACTTCTCTGATGCAATCTTCTACTAGTAAGAAGAGAAGAATTGATCCTAATACCTCTATGCTTGGTTCATCTAGGCCTGTTCAAGAAGAAGAGCCATTGCCTAACATAGATGCTCATATAGTGACATGGCTAGATAGAAGGTTCAAAACTCTATCTAAAGTGTTTACCATGTGTTTGGGAGGCAAAATGAAGGATATATATTTAAGTTGCAAAATCTCAAATATGAAGTTGAGTTGGTTGAGGCTTAAGCCAACAACATAAGAGATTCACTGGGGGAAATTAAGAGAATGCTAAGAGCTAATTACCCTCAAATACCTACTCTTGAACATGTATTTATGCACACAACTAAGACTTCTTCTTAAGGCTCTAAGAAGAGGGATCTTGAAGAATTTGAGGGTCATAGGGATTTTGGTGTTACTATAAAGAAGAAGGGCAACGTACTAAGAAACAAACTAAACAAGAACCTGTTTAAGCTAAGGCACCTAAGGATCAAGAAGGTTCAGTAGATGAAGCCTTCAATGCAATTACTAGTGTGTTAGTTGTAGCAAGTAGAGTCGTGGGTTTCAACGTTTGTGCCTTGTGCCATGGTAAATGTGCACGAGCTGTTGTAAATGTGTCAACTCACAATTAGTCATGATAAGGGAGTTACTAACCAAAGCAAACTTCTGTAGTTCTTCCTAAAATGGCTAATTTTTTCATTTCCATCATTCATTTCTTAATGCTAAGTTTTGCATCCCATGTCTCCATATATTTTTAAATACTTTGATTTTTAAAAAATATTATTTACCCTTTTGAATATCTTGGGATCCCAATATTAAGGTTGATCTTTATTATTAATAATGAACTTTAAAACCATGATTAATCCTTACATTTAAGGTTGTTGGTTGGTAGAGTTATTTAAGGATTAATGACAAGTCATTACTCTAAGTGTGTTTGGGTAACAAACTTTTTACATTTGGAAAGTATTTTTAAGAAATTTCAAATGTAAAAGTTGTTTGGTTTACAAAAAAAATTTCCAAAGTCCTTTGAAAAAATCATTAAAAGTCCGTTCTTTCAAAACTACTTTAACCTAAGTTTGGCAAAAAAAACAAAAAGTTTACATTTGAAGTTGGAGTTTAGGTATTAACAAGGGAGTGACTAATTTTAGGAGTGATTAATTTTATTTTACTATTCTAACTTTAACTTTATGATTATTTACCAAACATGTAATTTTGATATATTGTTAAGCATGTAATTTTTCATAAACCACAATTGCAAGGAGATTGGGTAAATCAGCAATTATGAACAGTAAATGAAATTTTATTAGCTTAAGAAAAATAATTACTACTTCATATTTAATTGACCAAATAAACAAATAAAAGAAAGTAATTTATGAGATTGGGAATAATGAGAAGGTTAATGAAGAGACTTTATTTATTTATTTATTTTTATTATTTATTATTTAACATATTAAATTTTATATTGTTTAAAATTTTAATTATATATGTGTTCCAAACATTTCAAATATGCTGTATGTGTGCAATAAAAATTCTATTTCGTAAAATCAATGTGTTATTTTTTTTAAAATTATACATATCAAATTATTTATTATTATATATTATATCCAAATAATATTTAATTGAATAAATTGACTGTTGAAAAAAAATCTATTCAAATACAAATTTTGTTATAATAATTGATTTTGATCAACTAAATTTTTGATAAACGGATTTTCAGCAAACAGAAACTAAGCGGGCTCTCAATCTTCCTTGTTCGTCCTTCGTCGAACCCAAAAAAACCCTAACCATATATAGAAATAAACAACCAGACAGAACGCCAACCATGGAAAACACAATACCAAAATCTATGAGTTAAAGCTTGGGTCGGCCCTAACAAACAAAACCCCACTTTAAAAACTTGCAAATAACAAAAAAGCTTCAAAATTTGTTTTTCTCAAATCAACCAAACCCACTAATTATCCAAAATTCTGATGCAAAATTACAATTGCAATCCAGAATATGTAAACACTAGCAATTTCGTCAACAATTAGATTGTGTTGTCGTGAGAAAATAGATCTTTTAGAATCTCTTGATTACCCCTCTTTCCGCCGCCGTCGACGAATCCGGCGATTCGGGAATCGATGGATCTCGAGGTGGCTGGCCGTCATGCTTTGCTCTTCGATGATGACGCCATGTCAGCGTTCGTGAACTCGAGCGAAGCTCTTGTTGAGTGGAACTCCCTCTCGATCGATCGCTACGACGTCCGCCACCTGCTCCCTGGCCCTCTTCCGGCCCGCCCCAAGCGCCGTGCTGTTCATCACTCCGATGATGCTTCTTCGTCTCTCGAGGTGGATCTGGATTATGAACGCTATCTGGATCTACCTTCACCTTCCGAGGAGCAAGAGCAAGGTAACGTCCCCCCCCACCCCAAATTTCTTATTTATGTTTAAATTTATCGTGTGAGGTTGTATTTTTTATTCTTAGTTCATGTTTGGATGATGCTATGGAAATATGGTCTATGCTTTTCTGTGGTCTATTTTAGGTTATAGAAAAATTTCATCACGAAGGGAAAAAAGTAAAGTAAAAAATTTAAAAAGAATGAGAGGAGTTTGAAGCAGTCTTCTCAGACTACGTGATAATTGCAACAGATAAATAGCAGATAGAAACTGAATCATGAAGAAAAGCTATCCCATCTGTCGGCATTTTTAATCAAGTCCTTTAAAAAGTCGTGTCCAACAACAGAGATTTATATGCTTATTGATTGATAATGGATTGTGCCCGGATGCTATTTGTAAGTAATTATCGTTGATGAATATTATACTTTGCCTGCCGGAAAAGGAAGGAAAGTGGGGATTGATAGTCTGTTCGAGTCTTGAAAATTGAAGAAAGCAACAATAAGAGAGTCACTGCAGATTGCTTGATTGATGGAGATTTTGTCAGATTAATGTTGGAAAATTTTGTCAGAAAAGAATGTTATGGGTAATATAATACACCCTTCTATACCAATAGGGTGAACAGCGTGGACAGATGACTTATATTTTAAACTGCCATGTTTAAACTTCTTTTACCTTTATGTGAAATTGGAGCTGAATTCTGAGAAGAAATGCTTGACTAATTGACACTGGTAATCTCAGTTAGAATATGCCTTGCCGTTAGTTTCTGGTGATTATTTTCAATATAACTAACTTATGTATTGCATAAAATTCACAGTATTTGTCTCCATCAACCTTCTCAACTTTTAAGTTTTAACAAGCCATCAGCTTTATTTTATACAATGCACGTGCATGTAAAATTGGCAATATGTTGGACCTAATATTTTCTTTTATATCGGTTCTTACTGAAAGCATCAATTCATGAAAATTACAAAGTTCTTGTTTCAACTTTTTTTTCCCTGATGAGTGTTCCTTCTTTCTTCAAGTAATGGCAAAAACAATAATGCTTGGCAATATGAGTGTCCAGGGAGAAAAACTAGAGTTTCTAGAGTTTTATTGATACAAGCTGGATCAGCTAGAGCATTGTTTAAAATGATGAATGGAACTGAACATATTCTGGGACTACAAATTTGTAAACCATATCAGCATATGCTTTTTGATGGATTACAAGTAGTTAGCCGATATCAGTTGAAAAAATTGGCGCAGAAGGTTAAGTGATTGACCAAGTCAGTTTTACTATTTTTATGCTTTGGACAGATTAATATATCTGGTTTAGATCGCTAGGTGTTAACTAAGTCAGACTTACTATGTATTTTGCCGCTTTGGACAGATTATCTTTGGTTTAGATAACAAAGTGTAGCTACGTGGTGGTAAATGATGCATTGCTGCTTTTTCAGGCCAGATAAACTTTTTAGTGAATTTCAGAACAGTGAAGATACTTTTTTGGGTCTAAAATTTCGTTGAGTTTTTTTTTTTGGTTGAGTGTTATTTCTTCCTTTCCCACAACATTGTCCAGACATGCAGGATGCAATGTAATTTGCTACAGTTCCTCTGTCAGAATACAAGTAAGAATGTTTTCACCTGTTTTGGTCATTTTACCATTAGATTCTTTTGTTGCAGTGCCATAACTGTTTGTGTTGGATGATATTGTTGCCTCCAAGTATTGCCAGCAATACTAATTATGGATATCATCTTGTGTGTCGATGTTCAGATAATGATTCTGAGCCAGTGATCTCGGGTGGCTTTCATGCTGTTGGATTTTCATATGGAAATCCTGAGAAGGCCATTGAGACAAAGAACAATGATACTGACTCTGGTTTTCATCCGCACTTCCCAGTGCCTGAGGGCTTGCTTTCAAGCGTGGTGAGTAACTTTAGTCTAATTAATTTCTTTCCTTATAATTTATTTTTCAGATTGATATATTTGACCTTTCATTATTTAACCAATGTGGCTAGGTGAAAACTGTCTAGAGTGCATATGTTATTCTAAGGCTTACCGTGTCTAAGTTTCAGATGCTTGGAGCTGAAATGGAGTTCTTGTGATTCAAGGTAGCCCATTCACAGGCACCTTGTTTCCTTTTGGTGTCATGAAAAGGGGTCGTGCAGGTGATATTAGGATGATAGGAATTCGTTCATTCTTAACTTGAGAGCAAATGGGATGAAAACTATCTTCATAAAGTTCTGTTTCTTGATCTTTATGGTTATCGAAGTATGTGTGAGGTTATGTTGTGTTTGTTTAGTACGATTTTATCTATCTAAATTCTAATACTTCTGCCTGGCGAGATCCTTTTTTAAATTGTTGTCGAGCTAACAGTGGACTTTTAAACTTATTGAAAAAAACCTTTGCTTGCTTGTTTTTCCAGCCTCCAAATGAGAAGGTGCATCAGATTATTGCAAGAACTGCTATGTTTGTCAGCAAACATGGAGGCCAGTCAGAAATTATTCTAAGAGTGAAACAAGGGGATAATCCAACATTTGGGTTTTTGATGCCTGATCATCATCTTCATGCATACTTCAGATTTCTTGTTGATCATCAAGAACTTCTGAAACCTGGCGTTGATGATGGCAACTCATCTGGAGACAAGAATGATAATCAGGAGCTTGATCAAACAGGTGGTGCATTGTCTTTGCTAGGATCTGTGTATGGATCTGGAGATGATGATGATGGAGCCACTGATAAAATCCCTGAATTGAAAAGAAATGAACGTGAGGAAGCCATCAGTGATGTAAAAACCTCTTCTTCTCAAGGAACAGAACAGGCGGAATATTCACTGAATGTAATCAAGAAGGATGGAAGTACAACCAAGAATTCCATATCTACTTCAAAAGAGAAAGTTCCTGTCATAAAGAGAAATCATTCTATCAATACTGTGAAGGCTGCAACTACAACCAAGGCAAAAAAGGTTGATGCCTTGGGATCACTGTCCATTGCAGCAGACAAGTCATTGACTTCTATGTCTAGTACAACTAAGATTGAAAAACCAATTGTGGAACCTCCGTCTGCCTTGAAGAGAGTTATTGAGAAGATAGTAGAGTTCATCTTAAAGAATGGCAAGGAGTTTGAATCTGTTCTTGCTGAACAGGACCGTGCTCATGGACGGTTCCCATTTCTTCTGCCATCAAATCAATACCATCCTTACTATGTAAAAGTCCTTCAAAATGCTCAAGAGGTATGCTTCTCAGAATTATTTAACTCATTTCTGCTAACTTCCATATATGTTTATGTGGTCCATGCAATGCCTTAGAAATCAGATGGTCTTCTTTACCTTGTATACCTACGGATACTGGCTAATCACTTTCTATTTTTTGGGTAATTGAGTGACTCTTGCCCTATCCCACCTCAATGACTAATACTATGATCAATAGACATTATCAGCAATGATATAGCGTATCTTAATTCTTAAGCTTATTAGGGAGTGTGTTTGTCAACTATGTATTTGTAAGTGTGACGTGCATGCTTGTATCTAATTGATATTATTTAATTTTTGCATACATGATATCTTGCCTTATAATGGGGAACTTGGTGATTATAAAAATGGCTGTTGCAACTTTGCTAATATTTGTAATATTAAGTTTATTTTTATTAATTTGTGAAATATTGAAATTAATTTTATATTAACATGAAAGTAATCATGTTTATTTTGTGCAATGTGCTTAGCACATCGCAAAATTGAGTCTCCCTTACTGTTTTTAGAATTGGCTGTAGCTACCAGAGTTTAGCTACAACTTAATTTTGTGTTTCTTACAGTCTAAGTCAATGGGCAAGGGTTTCCTCCTTGAGAAACATGATCCAGTAGGTCGCACAGGGGACAAGAGATCTGCTTCACTCAAAGAAGGTGACAATGTTTCAGTTGGATCAGTGGGTTCTGATTTACCCCATGACATTGACCGGAAAGAGAAGTTCAAAATGGTTATCGGCAAATCAAAGAAGGATGGACAAGAACCAACTTCCAAAGACCCTCAGCCTCAGATGGGAGTGAGTATGGACGCCGCAGCCGCTGCAGCTATTCTTCAGGCTGCTACTAGGGGTATTAAATATCCGTCTTTTGAAATTCTTACCAAGACCTCAAGTGGTAATGATGGTGGTCATCTGTCTGGCCTTGGAAGTCTGCTTTCATCCCAACCAGAGAGTTCCGTTCAGAAGTCAAAGCAGAATGCGGAGGCTAGCGTTTCTGTCCCTGTTGCCAAGGTTATTGCAGAGACTGCTGCTATTGCTGCGGCTGGTGAGGCTGACTCCTCTGAAGCATCTATGTCGAAAGAGCAGAAGCTTAAGGCGGAGAGGTTGAAACGAGCAAAAATGTTTGCGGCGATGATAAAAGGTGGAGCTGCACCACTGAAAAGCGAACCGGCACGAGGTGTATCAGCTGAGCCACCTGGATCTGGGATATCTGGTTCAGGTACTGAGATTGGGAATCTTGTTGGCAAAGAAAGGGAAGGAAGTTCTGTTCCACAGGAGGTTGATTATTCTGACAAAAGTCCCAAGTCTGAGGAGAAACTTTTTCATGACAGCATTGAACGGAGATCCAAACGCAAGTACCGCTCAAGATCCAGTAGACATGAAGAAGAGGAAGAGAGAGAAGATAAAAAGGATCACAAACGATCCAGAAAAAAACACCGGTCCCATCGTTCATCACACAGCAGCCGGGACCAGAACAGGCACAAGCACAAGAGAAGACACTCATCCTCTAAGGACAAAGATGCCAAGAGGACTAAGCATGATAGCTCCTCTGATGATGATGAGTCTCATCACTCAAAAGATTATCATAAATGTGATAGTTCCTCTGATGAAAAGCATCATTCCTCTGGGCGATGGCATAGAGAAAGTAACTTATCTGACGATGAACATCAACGTTCTCGGCGGCAGCATAGGGGTTATAGTTCCTCTGATGGTGAGCATCGGCACCGACACAGAGCTGGAAAGCATAGGAGTAGATCTCAAGCTGAGAGAGAGAGAGACTTAGAAGAGGGGGAGATAAATATGAAACCTGACCAGTCAAGAGCTAACAGGGAAGCTTCTGTTGAATTATCCAAATCATATCGCCATTCAAGGGAGCCATCGCAACCATCTGAAACAACTGATGTTTCTGATGAGCTTAGAGCCAAAATCAGAGCCATGTTGATGGCCACCATGTAAATGCTATAGGTTGACAATTGCGTTATTAATGTCAATTTCACTGTTCCAATTGGCTCAAGACTATTTCCATCTTTTTTTTTTTTTTTTGTGGGTTTCATCTAATTTCTAGTGTGGTTCTTAGGGGAACGGATTCTGTGCAGTAAAAGTGGTGCTGGGAAGTAAGGCAATCCTCAAAATTTATTTAATGGTAGGAGAGAAAGGAATTTATAAAAAGATTTCTCATTCACAAAATACACAATCAAGTTTGATAATTTTTTTTATAATTTATAAAAAAAATCTGGACATTACAGGATTAATTGAAATCGTCCAATTAAATAATTTTTTAAATTGTATAAATTAATTTTTAATGTACTTTTGGCTGTCCATATTTAATATAAATTTTTTTTATAAATTTTTGTTTTTATACATCATGATAGATGTGATTTGATTGAATACTTTGCATGTAAAAACTTTCTCTTGGTACTCCTCTCTTCCCAACTGTAGTTTAAAAAAAACCTTCCAGCCACTGCACCATTTTTACTGCACAAAATCTGTTCCTGGTTCTTAGAGGCATCTCAACTAGCTGTTTCATGTTAACAAGATGACAGAAAATGGTAAACATGAAAAATAAGGTTTTATCACAGGTTAGAAAAACGTCATGATAAACCGTGTAAAGTACAACAATCAAATCATGTTAAAATTTAAGAGAATCAATATATCCCCCAATACTCTTCCATGCAAGCTGACAATTTCATCAGTCCCAGACTCATTTCCCTGTTCTATGCTACAATGTTGGCTTCACATTTTCTCATGGCTTGGTCTCGGCTTTCACAGACTCATATCCATGAATTCATCTCTCTTTATTTGTGCACTTTCAAACTTTTTCACCCTTTGTTAGCTTTTCCAATACCACATGACACTCCCTTTTCCCTTTGTACTCACAACTTTTTTCCTCTCCATCTTCATCTGCGCATGTTCTTTATGACCTACATTGTTTCTCTTTCCAATCCCATCAGTTTCTCTTCATATACACAATTCCTCAAATTTTTGGTTTCCATTGATTTTGGGAGATGATGGATCTTCGTTTCTTTATCACTCCCAGGATCCCATGGCTAGAAACATGGAGCACATTCAAAAACGGAAGGCAACAAAGGACTGAGATTGAATGTCATGAAGAACAGGGCCAAAAATCAGAGAACCAATAGATTGCATCTAACTCGGTTATGCACTTCCCAGGCAAAGCTTAAAAGGATGCTTTTGTCACATTTTTAGAGACATTGAGTTTTCGAAACACAACGAGATCATGGTGGTTGAACAGAACCGATGATATATCCCCTTCTTTATATTTATATAGATAGCCAAAATTAGAAACCAGATTTTTCAATATTGAAATCATTTGTCATTATAATCTTTTTATTTTTTTTGGCCAACTTTGTCATTATAATCATACAATAGTAAAACTGAGACAAGTTCTTCTTACTCCATTCATTAATTTTTTTTTTAATTACTATTTGCATTGCTTACTGTTTGTTGTACTTTATTTTGATATTGAAAAATTTTACCAAAATGTAGAGGAGGACCAGAAAAAAAGGGAAGGGTGAAGAAAGAAAGAGCAAGATGATGTCATTAAAAAAAAGAGAGACGGAGAGCAAGATGAAGTTTAACAGAATGAACAAGAAAACAGAAGAAGACAAGGGGTCATACTCTTGTGTGTGAGACAAAAATAATTAAAAAAATATAACTTTTAATTATTACACTTTACTCATATTTTAATATTAGTCCTTACAATTTTTTTTAGTGTTTTAAATTTCTACACTTTTATTTTTTATTATTTTAAGTCTTTCTATACATAAAGTATAAGAATTTAAAATACTAAAAAAATATAAAAATTAAAAGTAAAATTAGGGTAAAATGCAGGATCCAAAGCCATGTTTTACCAAAATAATTTTTGTTTGATCTCTTTCCTCTTCAATCTTCATTGCCATCCTTCATCTCTGGTAACAATAGCTTGAGGAAAAAGCAAAAGCTGAAATTAGGGGAGAGAGAAAAAGGAAGCCTGGGGATATGAGTGAAGCTGCGCACGTGTTTCAATTTTCTGAATTTAAATTAATAAATTAATTGTTAATTAATGCTTTTGGAAAATCTGTATTCTTATTCCAAATGCTTTGGGAAAATCTGTTCTTTTGTCCCAAATGCTTTTGGAAAATCTGTACCTTTGTCCCGCATGCTTTTGGAAAATTTGGTTTTTTATCATCCAAAATGCTTTTCTGTTTTGGAATTTCGTGTTTGATGAGAGAGGATTGACAAATCTCTTTTTTTTTTTTTTTTACTACCAAACATGAACAAATCTCAAACATCTACAACTGAAAATGTTTATACTCTGATATGGTGAATATTTTTTAAAAAAAATTTTAGAATGATTTAATATATCAATTATTTAATATTTTTAAATTATGTATAGGGATATATTTGTTTTGTGTATTTGTTTTTATTTTGGTTCAATTTATTTAACACTTTTTGTTTATATATATAATTTTTTTATTTTTCATTTATTTATTTGTGTCTATTGTTTGGAAATGGAAGAAGATTTATAAAAAAAGAAAAAATTCATTCTTCTGAGAGGTAAGTTTAAACATTGTTTTCAAAGGATATGAGGAAGAATATAAGATAAAATGTTGAAGTGTGTCATACAGTACATTATAAGTCTCTCATAATCAATATTTTAAGGACCGAATCAAATATTAAACTAAAAAGGTCAGCAATTTATTATTCACATGATCAAATTGAGTTGGAGCAATGGTCGATCTGATAACATAATAACTAAATAAAAATAATATTAAATATATATATATATAATAAATACAAAAAAATCTATAGCATGTTAATAAAGTGACATAATATGATTGTAAATTAATTTTATAACTTGTCAAATATGAATGAATCTTAATTAAATTAGATATGAGCATACTCAAAAGTATATGTATTTGGATTTATAATTGTCAACATCTTTATAAAAAAATGGTCTCAAATTATATTTTATGTATGTGAATTGTCCAAAAATAAAGTTGGCTTTTAGTAGGATTTAATTTTTAAATTTTTCTATTTTTTAAAAATTTTAAGTTTTTTTAATATTATGTTTAAAACCATCTGGTTTTTTGAAAACCGCTTTGGTTCCTAGTTCAACTTTGGTTTTCAACTCAATAGCAACTCAACTTTAGTCCAATTCAACTCAATCATAAAAATAATTTTTTGAGTCCAAACCAAGTCGTTAACAACTTTGATTGACAATTCCATTATCCAGTTTAGCTCAATTTTTAAATCATTGCTCAGAATTATCCATGAGGAACAGCCTGTTTAGTTAACCTCATTAATTGATTTTTTAAGAGGAAATTGATTTTTAAAAGAAAATTACCCAAATAGCATAAACATGAAATAATCGATTAATGAGGTTAACATCAATTTTTTTTGTATATATACCTGCTTCTTTGATTCTCATTTTACCATATTAATAATAAATAATTTGTCAATAATTTATTTTTGTGTTAAATAAAATTTAACAAATTTAATAATATTAGGTACAAATTTATTAATAATTTAATTTTAAAAAGCAATGTCTTTGATGGTAATTTGTATAATTAAAATTGATTCTGATTAAATTATCTAAACATGTTCAATTTTGTTAAAATTAATTTTAAAAAAACAGTATCTAAACATATTGCGTTATAACATAATCAATTATAATTAAAATCAACTATATTAATTAATTATTTTTATAATCAATTATATTCAATTGAAATTTAAAGGGGCTTGAAATTGTGCAGTTTGTAGTATCTCTCTACTTTCTAATTCAAGCAAGTGATACTTTGCTCAAAATTCAATTAGTTATTGCTTTGAATGTGCAAGCAGGTTAATTATTCCTTTTCCTTGAATTCATCTCTTAGGGATGTATTTTAAGTCTTTAGTTCATAGAAGAAAACAACTATTCCCTCTGCTTAAAAATATAAGATATTTTTTGATGAGTTGATTGTTTAAAAATATAAAGCATTTTTAGTTTTTTGATATGTAATCATTGCCTTTTTATCCAAAAGTGCCCCTATTGATAATGATTTTATATTTATTATAGGGTATTTAATAAGGGTAAATATAAAAAAATAGGGTTAATTTGAAAATAGGTAACTATTTTATTGAGAGGTGAGATTTGATTTAAAATATTTTATATTTTTAAATAGAGGGAATATACCAGACACCAATAGTCATTCAGCCTGAATGCATTGTTATTTATTTATTTTATTTTTTTGAGTTACACACAGGCAAGCCAAGAATTGGGTGAAATGCATTGTTTTTGTTCTTTTCTAAAGTTGATTTCTTTTTTTCCCCTCTCATGTACTCCACGTATAATTTTGGTCTGGTTATTTTTCCTTCTCCACCATTGGCATCTTTTTTAATATATATGTTTGATTTTTTTTTTTTAACCTCTTTAGGTGTAACTTTTTCATCTCTTTTCCCCCCTTTGTGTCAGTATTTTTAGGCTGGCATTGGGAGCAGGATATGTGGCTGTACTTTTACCTAATTTTTTCAGAGCTAGGCTAGAGATTAAACCAAAAAAGTTAATAATTTACTGTTTATATAATTAAATTAAATTAGATTAATAGTTAAATTGATAAGTTAATAATTAAAAAATAATATTAAATATACATATATAATGAATATAAGAAAAAAAATATATAATATGTTAATACAATGATATAACATGACTGTAAATTAATAATATTATACATTATAATTTTATAATTTATTAAATATAGGTGAATCTTGATTAAATTAAATATAAATAAACTCAAAAGTACATGTATTTGCTCTATAATTGTCAATATCTTTATAGAAAAAAATATCTCAAATCATATTTTATACATGTGAATTATTCAAAAATAAAGTTAGTTTTTAATAGGATTTAATTTTTAAAATTTTTACTTTTTCTTAAAATTTTTAAGCTTTTTTAATATTATGTTTAAAATTGTTTGATTTTTTGAAAACCGTTCTAGTTCGTAATTCAACTTCAGTTTTTGATCCAATAACAGT